CCCCAAAACCCCAAAACCCCAAAACCCCAAAACCCCAAACTAGATATAAAGGATAGAAATAGTTAATATTAAAATTCCTTCAGCAATGAATACTAGCATCCAACCACTGTATGTTAAGAGAAGTAGTGAAGTTAAGACTATATCGCAGTTGCACCTCACTTCAGTGAAACCAGCAAGGGTGAATAGCAATGCTGAGGTCTCCCCTCGTCTACATTTAAAGAATATTAAAGTTAAATGAAATTCTGGAGAGAATATGGACGACCTCTTGAATAAGAACAAATTTGATCAGCTTGAAACACTTGACACTTTTGATTTAAGGACTAGGCTAAGCAGAGTGGATATTGATAAGAACTACAGCTCTTTGAAGTACATCCCGACTTCAACAAGAGAGGACTCTATCTGTAAAGATACTGAAGCTTCTTCAACTCTAAACAATACGGTCCATAACTTGTCCTCCAATTTGCAATTTCCTCTAAAAAGTTGCATTAAACAAGACACCAATATGGACTCTACAAAAAGTGTAAAGTTTTTAATTCAGGGACAAGCTGGCGAAGACATGATAGTGGAGAAATCAGAAGTCTCAGAACAAAACTCTGAGTACGATAGCTTTATCCTGTATGGCATTTAAAAACTCTCTCCAAGGATAGGCCTAGGTTTCATACCTCTAACTAAATTTTTCAAAATGCTCACATTATTTGGAGTTTTATGAAATTTCGAAAATATGAAATTTAAATCCACTTTCTTTAACAAAATGTTCCCCATTCTGGTGAGGGCCATCTTTGTAGAAGCTATGGGAAGGAAGGAAATATTTCTAGCGGTCCCTCCTAATTTTAAATATGATATCCGATTCAAATGAGCTAAAAATGTTTAGATGTGTTTTAAGGGTACCTTCTCTATTTCAACCCAATTTGTGTAAATAATAAAAGAAAGCAGAAATTTTTATTTGAAAAGTTTATATCTCCTCAGCAATCTTGAAAGGACTTCATAAATTAGTTTCATCTATGTACCCTTTTTTCTCTCGAATAATTAGGTTCCTTAAATAAATTTTTTCAGAAAATAAAAGCTCATGATAATGAATTTTTCGTTTTCCTAACTTATCCATTTCAACATCACCAATTCTCTTTGGGGTTTTGGGGTTTTGGGGTTTTGGGGTTTTGGGGTTTTGGGG